TAGTAATAAGATATGTTAATATTTCGATGTTAATAGGACATCTATATGTCTGTCTGTGCGCAATTTTGCGTACTCGATTCTGATCTTTTTGAAACTTTCTAGGATTAAAGTAGACAAAAAACTAAGACTTTTTTGTTCCGGCACTTTTCGATTTGGCCGCCATTTTTGCCGTGGCCGGCCTGCAAAAGTCAATTTTTGACTTTTGTCTCTACGATCACCGAGGCACATCCACTTGACACAACCCGGACATATGCATATCGATAGAAAGGTCTTGAAGTGAGCTATCGAATGGTGCCAATTGCGGTCCAAAAATTTCAATGTGGGGTGGCCAAATTGGCCAAAAACCAAAAAGTTACCGTTCGGCCGGACACATAACGGCTATTACCTAGAAAACAAGCTCAAGGATTTTTTCAATGACCGGTTCGCGCATATTTCTATGCTTGCCTAAATACGCTAGGTAGCATAGATATGCCAAGCATAGCCGCAAACGCAACCGACGCATCGCCGTGCACTCTATATGAACAATGCACGTGTTCGTTCATGCAGACGACCGTGCGCATACAATATAGCTCGAATCGAATGGCGACGGGTGCGTTGCGGCTTGCGTCTCCGCTATGCTTAGCATAGCTATCAGGCATAGAAATATGCGCGAACCGGTCACTGGATTTTTTTGAAAATTTCACCGATTTAAGGCCCAAATCTAAGCTAAAAAACGCCGTATGGCTTATATCCCAGAAAATTCTTGTTTTCAATATATGGCCTTCGATAGTGCAAAAATGGCCAAATATGGCCATTTTTTCAAACAATCGCTGTGGCACCTATACTTGACATACTCAGGGCATATGCATATTCGTTGGAAAGGTCTTGAAGTAAGCTATCGAATGATGCCAATTGTGACTTAAAAATTTCAAGTTCAGGTGGCCAAATTGGCCAAAAATCAAAATTTGACAGTCTGGCTGGGGCACATATCGGATATTTTCTCGAAAAAGAATGGCTCCCATACAAAAATATTTTTTGTTGTGAATTTTTTAATGAAAAATCTGTGAAAAATTGGTTGCATCTTAAAATTAACGTCAGATTCGGTTTTCTCGTGCCAAAAAACCCCCAATTCAAATTGATTCAGCGAACAAATTGAAAGAATATCATTTCAAGGCATTTTTCCCATAAGTGCCTCTTCAGAGTCCAATTTTTACACAGATCAACCAATATTGCTGAAAATTTGACCAAGTCAATTCTTGTAGTCCCAAATCATCCCATAAAGTCAGATTTTGCAGGAAACCATCGCGTCACCAAAATGGTTAAAAAATGGTAAAAAAATGTATGGATGTGGGTACTCCATTCAGACCAAAAATATCACCTGTCAACAGATATTGCTCAAAAACTAATCAGCTCGTCTTCTAACAGTCCCCAATCATCCAGTAAAATAAGAATTTGAATTTTTTTTGTAAGTGATAAAATATTATGCAAAATATGGACATTTTGGCAACACGCCACAGGACACACCACACATGCTACACAGCGAGTAACATTAATATGCCCCAAAATCGCTTCTTATCGTGTTTTCTACATGAAATATGCATAGAAAACATGTTTTGATATGACTTTAATTTTTTGGCCTAATACAATACTGTAGGAAAGGTGTGAAAAAGTGTGCGGAAAAGTAATATTCTAAAATAAATTTTATTACGGTTTGGCGCACAGTTAAATATCACCTGAATTTCATCCTCATTCGACGACGAAAGTGGGTGAAACTTTAGTCAATTTCACCTCCAATTTGGGAAAAAGCGATAAAATATTGAAATAATTGATTCTCACCTGTCATCCTCCAACTCAAATTGAACCCAATTATCAATTGTATGGAATTCGTTGGTGATATTAATCAAACGACATAAAATGTCCATGGAAGACCTTTTTATTTTTGATAAATCAGAATTTCTCATGCTGCTTTTTGGTTTCATCCCTCTCAAGTTTTTTTGTTGAAATATTTGTTGAAAACTTGCATTAAACATAGAGCTCAATTTTTCAATATACATTTTTACACAATTACGCAAGCGAACATTGTCACTATTCAAATATTTCAAACCTTCTTTTCGGTTTGAACGAATTGTTAAATAAAATCTTAATAGATATTGTGATTGAAAAAACAAAAAAATATTGTAGAGTGCCTATAATATGAATAAAACTATTGGATACCGTATTTTTTTTGTTCAAATATTGCTTTAAAAATTATCTTACTTTTAAATGATCCGATGAAAACAACTCACTATTTTGGAAATAAATACAATCCGAGAGTTCCTCAAGTGGATCATATAACATTTCGGTGTAGTCAGGCAATTGTATTGATTCTAACATTTTAACTTCGGCATATAAGATATGTAATAAATCTATGATTGTGTTCAAACAAATCTGGCCTTTTTTATAGTGACTGGGCAAATAATTGAAGAGGAAAATTAGAATTAATGCACACTAAAAAAGTCTTCAAAATAATTTTATTACCTCTCACTACTGGAACTCAACAATTTTGATTCATGAAAAAGAGATATATTTTTACGAATGGCTGTATCTGCTTGATTAAGCATCATTATTGTTTCATTCAAATGATGCTGCGCGTTCTTGTTTTTTATAAAACATAATATCTCCATAATAAAACAACATAAAAATGTTGGGGCTGTTGTAGAAAATAAATAATTAAAACTACAAATTTATATTAAAATTATTATTTCAATTTAAAATACTTAAAGGATATTCAAGAAATCAAGAAAGAAATTACCTGATGGCATTTTTTCTTAAAGTAACAGTTATTATTGAGGTCATAAAGAGTCCTCCGAGAAAAATATGTCGTCTCCTGATTGCAGAAGATTCTATTACTTCAGGAATTATTGCTTGGCATTGTTCCAGAACTTCTAAGTGATCAACTAACATTCGTTTAGAAACTAAAATTCGTTGGAGGATTAAGTTCCCTGAGATCTGAAATTATGATCTCATTTAAATATTTTTTACCGTTGAATTATTACACATATTATTTTACCGTTGAATTAAATATTTTCGCCCAGAAATCATGCCAACAAATAATTTTTTTCAAGAACTGCATTATAATAATTAGAGCTGACTATGAACGATGCTATAAATATTAAATATTGTAAATGTCAGCCGTCAAGATAATACAAATGTCATATGCGACAATAATAGATGTCGCCCTCATTTCAATCATTTTGTTGAGCTTGCGTTTTGTTAAAACATTTGTGTTGAAATTTTCCAAGTGAATTTCAATTAAACTATTAGTAATAAAATAAAATGAATATTTTATCTGATTCCGAAAGCTCAGATTCAGATACAGGAAGAAGATATAAAACCGAGTCAACGAGAGCAAAAGAATTTTTTTTCAAAGAGATGCGTTGTGAAAACACCGCAAACAAAAATGTGAGGAATAATAGAAAATGCGAAAAACGTGAATTATTTGTTAGCTTGAACAAAAATCAGACATCAAAAAGGCAGAAACAATATGAAAACCGTACCAAAGAGAGTGAGAAAATCAAAGATGGAAATCGATTTTTACATAAAAATAATTCATTAAAAAATGATGACCATCAAACTAAGAAAACACATGATGAACGGGATCGTAAATTTAGAAGTGATTCTGAAACTTATGAGGAAGTTAGATCAAGAGAATCATTATCGAACGACAACGAACATGGTCCATCACTACCTCCACACATGTTGAAAATTAATCAAGATACCCATTTTTCTGATATTAAGACCAAAGAGTCCCAGGAAAAAATATATGGTCCATCTTTACCTTCACATTACTTCGATAAAGGATACTCATCAAAAAGATATAATAATGTTACAACAAAAGATAATGAATTATCTGAAAGTGATGATGAATTAATTGGTCCAGTTCCAAACTGTTTCCTGGATAAAAATGACTCGCAATTGCAACAGCGTGCGCTTGAGCTGAAGCTGTCAAAACTGAATAGTTCATCAAAAAAAGACTCTGATAATAAAATACGAGATATATGGATGACCGAGCTTCCAGAACTACGTAGGGTAACCAAACAAACGATATAAATTGCTTAAAAATATAATAGAATGATCCATTAAATTTGCTATTTTCATTATTTTCAGGTAAACGATCTTCAAAATCGACAATTCAAAACTAAAGATTATGATAACAACAAAGATCGATCGATATGGACTGATACTCCATCTGATCGAAAAAAAAAGTTCAACGAAAAAACCCATTATGATTTGAAAAAAATGGATCGTGAAAAAATGGAAAAGGTAACATGAAAATAACATTTTTTCCGCAAGCGAATTACACCATGAAAAAATACAGGAACGTCAAAAAGAAACCTAAAAAGGTCTATCTCCACCAATGCATGGCAGTAGTGACAGTAGGGCAACGCAGCCAACTTCATGGCATTAAATATTGGCTCAAATTCAATAATTTCTCTTTAATCTATTTTTTCAACATGGTTCATTCGTTATTATTAATATTTATTTTTTAAATTTTATTAATTCCATTCCTATTTTTGTAATTATTCCTAGGTAATAAGTCATCAGAGAGACTATGAACAAGAAGCGATAGCGAAGAAACATAAACGAGATGAATCACTGTTAGATATACATCAGAAAAATATAAAGAAAAAGATTAAATCATTGAAAAACATCGAACCTGTAGAGCGTCGTCCATTTTCAAGAGATTCAGACCTTAAAGTAAACCGCTTTGATGAATCATTGAAAAAAACCGTCTTAAAAAAGGCTCAATTGCTTGATACGAGATTCAATAGTGGTCAAACCAAATATTTGTAACAAAATTAAACACCCTTTAACCAGCAATCATTTTTAATAAAGAATTACAGATCCATTTCAGTTGGAATAAAAAATTAAATAGAAGTAAAAATAAATTATTATCTGGTCCTATTGAACGCCATTTTGATTTTTTTGTTCAAGTCTCCAAAACACCACCGTTTTTCCCAGCTTTGAGCAAAATTTAAATAGTAAGATAAGTTGAAAATTTTATAGTTTTGGCCAAGCGTAAGTGCACGGAATTGCAGAGGGATAGTTAAGATCATAGGTCTGTGAACTGATGAATTCTTCTTTATTCTCTGGTTCAGGACGAACACTTGCAAGTCCTGAAAATTATATGATATATGAAAAATGTATTCTTTTAGCAGTTTTTTCATTAAAAAAGTATTATATAAACCTTTCTCAAACGTATAATTCATAACCGATACTGCAATTTTCATTGAACAGTCACGAATGGTGTCAAGTGGTGGGTACAAGCTACCGACATCTAAATCAGCATCAGTTACCAAGTTGGCCAATCTTTCAGCAGATACAAGGAATATGTCCTCAGGAATTATTGATGCTCCAGCACAAATCACTCCCAATGCAACACCAGGGAAAATATAGGAGTTGTTTCCTTGGCCTGGATAATATGTTTTTCCCATATATTCAACAGGTGGAAATGGTGAACCCGACGCAAAAATGCATTTACCCTAGGATGTTTTTAATAAGATTCGTTTCTCGAATATTTAATGAAAAAACATAAAAATATCACTTGTACTTACATTGGTGTAAGTATATGCATCCAAAGCAGTACATTCAGCTTTGCTAGTTGGATTTGATAAAGCGAAAATAACTGGTTTTGCGTTTAGTTCTGCCATTTTTGCTAAAATTTCAGGAGTAAAAGCACCAGCGATTGCAGCTGCTCCGATTAAAATAGTTGGTTTAATTTGATCAACTGCTTCAGCTAATGTATTTACTGGCTCATGTTCATGGGCAAAGTGAGCCTTGTGCTCATTGATTCCCCCTTTTGGACGATCTTTGACAATCAAACCTTTACTATCAACTAACCATACATGTTTCACAGCTTCTTCTCTAGTTAAACCTTCTTTACACATTGCCATTACGCATAAGTTGGCAATTCCTAAAGCAGCTTCTCCAGCACCTTGAAATAGAATGGTGTTTTCTTTCAATTGTGTACCAGTTGACTTTAACGATGCTAGAACGCCGGCTAATGCAACTGATGCCGTGCCCTATATTAAAAAAATAATTATAAATATTATTTTGCGTTTAAGGAGAACATAAAAAAATTACTTGTATATCATCATTGAATGTGCAGTAGCTGTCTCGGTACTTATTTAATAGATGGAAAGCATTGGCGTTTCCAAAATCTTCAAATTGAATTAAGCAATTTTGACCAAAGCGCTTTACAACTGCCTGCATGAACTCTTCGATGAAATCTTCATACTCTTTACCTAAGGGGAGAATCACAAAAGATAAGAATAGAATTAATTTAAAATAATCGACAAATAATCGGAAATAATCGTAAATTATCGAAAAAGAATAAATAGGAATACTCTTTACCAGTAACTCGTCTTTGACGCAATCCAATATAAAGTGGATCTTCCAAAATACTTTGTGTATTTGTTCCGACATCCAAAGTTATCGGTAAGCATTGATGGGGTTTTATACCAGCCAAAGCAGTATATAATGACAATTTGCCCACTGGGATTCCCATTCCATTTGCTCCTAAATCACCCAAACCTAAAATTCTTTCACCGTCAGTTACAACAATTGCTCGTACATCAGTTTCCGGCCAGTTTTTCAAAACATCGTATATGTGTCCTTTATCGTGAATCGAAATGAAAAGTCCCTTTGGATATTGGTAGATTAAACTGTACTTTTGACAGGCAAGACCAACTGTTGGCGTGTAGACTAGTGGCATCATACTACCAATGTCAGATGTAAGCACACGAAAGAACAGGCGTTCATTGCGATCCTAATATATAAATATATTTTTCATTGTATTTAATAAGCACATAAAATAATAAAAAAAATAATGGAGATCAACATACGTATAGACCCATTAGATACACAAATTTATCTAAATCATTTTCATAGCGGTTTAACAAAATAATACAATGTTTAACTTGTTCTTCTGCGCTCTTCACCACAGCTGGCAAGAATCCATGAACTCCCAGCAGTTGTCGTTCTTCTCGTGTGAACGCTAAGCCCTGGATTGAATTTCAAAAAATCAATAATAAATTAATTCGATAGTGAAATGTGACAGTGTTTATTTTGATATAGAATAAAATACTATTTTACACTTTAAAATGGAAAAGAGTTCCATATCTACATATCCATACTGCATGCGCTACCCACACAAGCAATTTATTTTTCTTGTATCTTTTTACATATGAATCGTTGCGGCGAAACAGTAGCTCTTATTTTTCTTCAAATAATACTGCAACATGAAGTTTTTTTCACACGGTTTATTTGTTGTAATACAACAAATAAACTATTCATAAAAAACTTTATGTTGCAGTATTATTTGGAGAAAAATAAGAGCTACTCTTTCGCCGCAACGATTCATATGATTGCCCGAGAATGAAAGCGAGACTTCTATTCACAACTTATTGAAATGTAACACCGCCATACAAAAAGTGCTGACTGTCAGCATATTTTGTATGGCGGTGTTACATTTCAATAAGTTGTGAATAGAAGTCTCGCTTTCATTCTCGGACATTCATATATATTATAAATATATAAATATAGTTTTTTTAAAATAATCATTCAAATGTATTCATTATCAACAAAATTTACTATAAGACTGACGCATGTGCATTAAATGTTTTTTTCATTATATGTGTGATACAGTAATGTTCTTTCCTGTCATTATCTGGGATTTAAAATGATTTTGATAATGAACTTGACCAATGAAATCCGTGCACATGCACGCGTGTGATATATTCGTGTGTTTCGAATGGAATTTTATTTCATGATCATTATTGAATGTGAATTCAAAATGGCAACAATTTCATCATTCGATTGGCATTAGTAATGTTAAGAGTGAATTTTTGTTTTTTTCTTTAATCATTTTGTTTTGAAGACAGATGAGTTGAATGTTAGAACTGTAATTGAGTCAATTAATCAATGTATTATCAAAAAACGCTTTTCATAAGCATTAGGAAAAAAACATTTTGGGAAAATATGCGTAGCATAAAACCATCACATGATTTGACAGCTGTCAATTACCCTTCACAAATACTAATACTGAGTTATTTATTTAACAAGTTTGTTTCAATAAAAAGTATAATTTTGAAATTAACTATTAATTACCAAATAATTCATGCATATTTGTAAGTAATTAAAAAAAAATGTTTTCAAATTTAATAAATGTCAGTTACGTAATAGAAATTAAAATTATAATTGATTGTTATTATCTGTAGAATTTATATAATGACATAATTTTTGGGTATTATTTTAATATCTCAGATATCTCTATCCACAAGTGGTTTACAACGATATGAATTTCTATTTGATCATATAATAAAAAAGGTCAATTACATATTGTGAACTCAGTTGATTGTTATTGCTATTCATCAAAAATGGTATCACTTAATAAACGAAAATATGGAAACTAAAATGAAATCTACATGGCTACAAAAACGGAAGATGTTCCAAAAATAATCACATATTAATGCATATATTTAAAACATACAAAAACAATTATTTAAATAATTTTTGTAAAAAAATGTACCAATATATAATAGGCATATGTCGAAATAATAGCCAGATGTTTGGGTATATTATTAAAACGACCAATCCAAAAAAAAAAAACAAGAAAATGATAGTTTTAATTTCAATTATGTATCATCTCTATAACCATTTGAATGAGGAACAATTCAAAAGCTCAAGTATCAAGTATATATCCATATTTAGACAAAAAATTAAAATAATGGAAAAAAGAGGATCCAAATGTTCAAATGTCAGCCATCTCTCTGTAAAACATATTATTCTAATAATTATATAAACTTGCGTTTTTCATTACATTGGAATAATAATAATATTTGTTGTGAAGTTGAAAAGTTTTCTTTAAAAATACAACCATATGGTAATACTCAATTGTTTTGGAAGAAATTGCACAATAAATGTTTAGTGGCAGTTAAAGCAACATTGGACTTTAAAAAAAATGTGCACAGTACAGTTGAAATTGAAAACATAATATATATAACATAAATTGACTTAAGAAGATTGAAGTCTTAATGAATTAGCCAATCAATGCCAATTATTATAAATTATATTTCTCGTTTTCATGAATTTAAGGCATATGCAATTAGACATGATACTTCAATTCTATGACCACTTTTTTTAGTTTTGCATTATTCTATACCACAGTAAACTTTCTTTTTTGTATTTGGCTTTTTAAATCTTTTTAAAAATATATGGAAAAATATCAAATGTCCTTAAATAATAATAAATTGAATAATATATGATTAAGTCATTGTAAATTATGCTCAATGAAAAGTGTGAAATAGAGTATTTTTGTTGATACCTTATTATAACGGGACAAGCGTAAACGATCTAATCCACTTATTGCTGCAGCCACTTCAGAATCATTACCCCAAAATCCCAAACGATCACGATGACTTGTTTCGGTACTCATTTTTTTTGTATCTGAATCAGCTGATTTTTTCAAACTTTTACAATCTGAATATAATTCACTACCACAGTAATTGTTTACGTTGTTTCTCGAACTAACTTCGGTTGCTTTTCCTTTCGACAGAGCGTATTCCACTGTGTCAGTTGTATTTATGCGGTCGATATTTGATTGGTTTGGCATTTGATATAATGGAGGTTGCTGCTGCGCATGTGTACTGCATTTGTTGTAGCTTTCCGTATGATTGTATTGAAAACATATATGTGTATTAAAATATGTTGAGGTATATACATTAAGCAAGTGTATATAAAACCAATATGTATAGAAGTTTGACACTTTAAGTAATATTACAAATTTAAAAGCTGTTAAAACTCGTTTTTTGAAAAACTCACAAAAAATACTGCTCATGAACAATAGCATACATTTGTCCCTTTCCTCTAATTATTAATCTTAATTTAAGATCTGCATAGTTCTAATGAATATTAAAAACATATTTGATAGTTGTACTCTATTTTGTTTGGCTATAAACGGTTTCCCTGGTAACATTCTATTTATCCAATCTACAATTTAATGTTAAGAACGAAATAGATTATACTTGATATAAAATTATTCGATTAATAGAATTTTCAGGTATTTTGAAGTAAGGTTTTACTCGATAAGACAACAAGATCGGAGATTTCCATTTGAGTTATTTTAATCTAATCTATTGAATATACATAGCTTCGCATTGGCTGCGGTATAAATTCACACTACGCATAGTTTGAAGCTGATTTAAGTTACGCACGGTAATATACGATATTTATTAGTGAATATAAGCCATTAATGTAAGCAATACATAATAAAATTCATGAAATTTGACCAACATCCATTAATAATATAAACTTACAATTTGCTCAATATTTTATCTGATAAAAACTTACCCGCTTCTGTTATCACAATCATATAGTAAGGCTTGATTGTCTGAACAGACTATATTCCGCATAATATAATCTTTTATTGATTTGTTTTCTAAATTATAAATTACGTTATTATTACGTTATAAGGACCAGTTAACAATTTTTTTGCTTAAAACATTTAATAGCATACAATCGCAAAATATGATGTGAGGCGTGTTTTGTGACCATTGGAATTTTATGTCAATTTCACTTCACAGCTTACAAAATTTTATAACTTCAGCACATTTTATTTTCGCAAGACAAATTGTCAACTATGAACTTGCCCCAACTTAAGTAAATAATTTTTTTTTGTGAATTCCAGAATGTAATCGATTTTTTTTTTTTGCAATTTTTCATAGAAGTCTCTAACTAAAACACATACCAAAAAAACACAAACACAATTAATTGCGTAAATTTTTTTATTCTTGTTCATTCGTATTCTTATGATTAAATAACACGTGAATAACATCTATGTTTGTGAAATATTGTGCCAACGGTTTTAGAGATTAAGCTTAACACATTCAAAGTCAAAATAACAAAAATCATGCATAGAAATTCTACGCAACACTTGAAATCAAACTGCACAAAGCTATGAATAACATTCTAACATTTTATAGTAATAATACCAATAGTAAGCAATGTATACATAAGCATTATTAAATCTTAACATTAACCGTGTACTTATAAATCTTAACATTAACCGTGTACTTATAACTTGTATGTCACACAATTATACAGAGTGGTCCATAATTCCATGTCAATATTTTCACAAAATTTTCCTAGCTCATGAGGTGTATGGAGACCTTTTCGGAATCGGCTGTTTTAGTAGGGTTCCAGCCCTAGCCCCCAGGGTCAACATTTCTAATGTTCTTGTTGATTTCGACGTACGGTCACCACTGCGGTGTTTTTCAAAAGGCATTTTTTATTATTGGCTTGTTTTTATAATTGCCACCCTCTTCCAAATACCATGAAAAAATTTCGGATAAAATTTCAGTGGAGACGGTCAAAGTGAGTTGACCAAAAGTGAAAAAAATCATCGAAAGAGCATCCAATTTTGGTCCGGTATGCACATTTTCAGATTTCAATTTTTTGTGGGTGGGTAAAAATTTACAACAGTCCGCAGTGGAGCGACCGATTTTTTTTTTTACTTTTTAAATCAACTTTTCTGGGTCAGTTTTTTACGCTGATTGTTTGATTTTACAGTCGATCTTACACAATTTGGATCCAAGGAATTCAATGGTGCCAACTATTTTGTCCAATCAATTCGAAGTTCTGAGATAAACGGCTTTGAACCTACCCCTAGGAATGACATTTTGAATTTACCATTTTTTTCATTCGATCGTCATGAAAATTGATATTGAGGGGTTTTTGGGTACGAGAAAACCGAATTTGACATTTATTTTCACATAAAATCATACTTCGGCATCGATTTTCGATGTTTTTTTTTTCACTTTTGGTTAACTCACTTTGACCGTCTCCACTGAAACTTTTTCCGAAAGTTTTTCATGGTCTCCATACACCTTTTCACTCCTCATGAGCTAAGGAAAATTTTGTGAAAATATTGACATGGAATTATGGACCACCCTGTATAATTCTTGACATGTACAATTTGGACTCCAAAAATTTGAAAGTGTTTTTAAATTGTAAGTTATGGAAAAGAACATTGAGGTTATTAGGAAATCAAACACATATCACAATTTACAATTACACATGCTATTGAACATATGACCTTAAGCCTGATATATATATATATTTTTCTCGATTTCAATGTCATTAATGCCTAACGTGTCGCTCTTAATGTATTTACAAATGACTAAGCGACATTTTATGCGTCATTTTTCGCTGCCAGAATACAATAAACTATGGAGATTTTTGAAAGTTTAAAGAGAAATATGTTAACTTGTCATTCGATATCGTTACGAGTCAGGTGTAAATTATGATAATAACTGCACCGAACAGCGTTCCTTCGCCTTGGTGGTTTATTGAAAATAATTTAATTAAATATATATAATAATACAATTTGATTTTTATCAAGCATTTTTGAGAGAGAAAATGTA